AACAAGGAATTGTTTAGGGTTGTGATTTTCCTGCTGATGATTATTGTGTTGATTAGATATGGGCATAAGCTTTTGTTTGTGTTCATTTCTTCAAAATCACGATCTTGACTGTGCTGGATGATTTACAGTCTGCTACAAGGGTGGGAAGCATACAGTCCAGTGAGTGGTCATAGCCTGAAATTCAGCTCATTATGGACTGTGAGTTCTGTCTTAGTGGGATGAAGGTGATGGTATTTTTTTAATGCTGTGGCTCTGTTAGTATATATGGTATACCAAATTGAAAGTCCTCAGCAAAGAGGATGTTCAGCACGTTGGTCTGATGCCAAGAACACTACAGTTTTTTGTGCAAGTATGGGAATCTCATTCCCACTAAAGTCAATAAGATTTACTTTAATTTTGAATTAGATTCTGCAGGCACAAAGGTATATCACTGCAAGAACGAGGTACTTCCATGGGTTGTAGGAGGGCATGGCAGCCTTGCAGTAGTCTACATCTGCCTGGGTACTGTGAGTGTAGATCTTCTCCTGGTAACAGGGTGATAGCGAACCATGGTGAAGACACAAGCATTGAAATCACAAACTGTGGATTCACATGGCTGAAATCTGTCTCACTTTGCCCTTATTGGCCTTTTTCTGTTAGCTCCAACCCCATCATAGAAATCATTGATAGTCATCTGGTGAAGTTCCTTAGTCCATCAGTAATTTGGGTGGTTGTCTCTTCCCTTCCAATTTCACCATATTGTGTGGTAGCGAATCCTTTGCTTCTATACCAAGGGAGCATAATCAGTTAACTGATGGTGACTGATTATTAAGACTTAGAGTGGACTCTTCAGTCGCTGCAGGATTGCACACAGAAAGGGATTCTTTCACTGAAGTACAAAGGTTTGTGCACATGCAGCAGCAACTTGGCTCACTATTTGGGTGTCAGCAAGAGGCACGGTGTAAGAAAAATGGTATTTTCTAGCATTCAGGAGGAATTTCATAAAGATTAGTTTTTGAAACGGTGCCAGAATCCCTTGTGGGTTTTCTTGTTTCCAGATTTTGTAGAGTATTAGAAATTGATGAACTAATGGGAGACAGAGGCATTTCTTTTACCACGGGAATCCTCAGGACATTCATTGCCTGTAACCTCTGTTCTCAGAAAACAGGCTTTCCAGCTCGTCTCATCTACCTATGTGAATTACCAGCAGTCTCCTTTATAATTTGTCCCATGTTGGCATCATTCTTCTGTGATGAAAGTTTGTTGGAAGCAAAAACAAAATGCGGTGTGTTAAGGCCGTAAAGCAAGGACTGCAGAAATGTGTCTTAAAATGTATCTGATTAAAGGCTGTAAAACTTTCTTTTCTTGTAAAATGGATGTATAGCTGGCTCTTTCAGTGAAATATCCTGCAAAAATGGACAAGTAAGATAAACAGGATTTGATCCAAGTGACTGTTCTGCCTCTCTCCAAACCTGAAATACTCACATAGGTATCTAACTCAGGCTGGACCAGGACTGCAGCATCTGATTTGATCTAAGGCTATCTTTCAAAATTCTATTAATGGTCTTGTAAAAATGTCAGGGAGTGTCGAATTGGAGAGTAAACCTAATCCCACAGAGTTATTCAGCAGTGAGTTTGAATCTAAACTTAGATTTCATTTCAGGACTCCTATTCACATCCGTAACTGCAGCAACATGTTGTGGGATCATAAATCCTTGTTTGAATAGTTCTGTGCACTTGACAGTTCCCTTTTGAAAATAAAAGTTTCAGGACAACAGGCTTGCTTCAGTGTTAGTAAATAATAAAAAGGATGCATGCATTGAGTCATTCACAGAATAAGAATTTGTTTTCACCTTCCAGAAATTATCAAATTCTGGGATAAAATGGAGGCTTTGTTTCATTTCTATTCTAAGCCATATACAGGATGGGAAACTTTTTTTTTATTCATAGGCACAGGAATAAATCAGTGGTAAAGTCCATACTAACAGGCATAGTATAGATGTAAATACAGTGCACGTGGTATGTCTGTTCCCTTTTTCAGATATCTCTCACATTGGAGTTTACAGTCAAAGTAATGATGAATTTTTAAACCTCCCTGTTGAATCTAAAACATGCATAAGAGCAATGACTTCTTGCTGATGTTTCTTAGTGTAGACTATCATTTTCTGAATATTTGCCTGCAAGCAACAAATGCAGCATGGAGAAAAATACATGGGGTAGACTTATACATTAAAAATTTAAATAAATATAAATGATCAATACCTGTTGTTATTGCCTGACCTATTTCATTCTGTTAATGGTCATGAATAGGAATGCTGCTAGAGTACACAGCTGCCTTGCCAATGAACTTCAGTACTGTGCACACACATACACAAAGTGCTATTTAGGGAATCTGAAAATATAAAGAGATGTAATGAGTGAATCATATAGCCCCATGTGCCAGGCCACTGCAGAGTCTGGAAGATAAATCTAGAGTTTCTCTTGATACTGGAATGTACACGCACCATACATCAGCCAGATCTATGGAAATCTTCCCAGTGGGAGTGCAGGACTTAAGGAGTACTGCAGACTATTGGTGAGCCGTAAACATCTCAAAATATTAAAAATATATAAAATTTTAAAAGCAGTTCTGTGGCTTTCTAAAGTGTACTTCTAGAAGGCTCATTGTAGGTATTCTAGATCTTTTTTCATGCTTGAGAAATTACACAGCAAACCATGTACTTGCATCTAGATGCATATATATATATAATATTATTTATTTTTTAACTCGAAACCTATGTGGAAGTGACAACTGTTTTGTAAGAATGCAGGAAACATTTGTGGGAGAACAGCTCTATCCATTTCAACAATGTAGAATTAAATACAAAAAAATACATAACGTACTTAAGTAAAATGACTCTGAATAAATGTAATCACAACTGTTTTATGTTATCTGGAGGCCTCTGTTGCTGACTACTCATATTCTGCATATCAAATACTACTGGGTCAAGTGTCAGGGCTGCTGAGCACCTATTCCCATTGATTTTGTTTATAGAGTTCCTCGGACAGATCATTAGAGCTGTGTGAGTACCAAGTTCTGTGATTCAGTGGCAGTTCTGAGAAATAAAAAACTCCTAACTGGAAAGCAGTATTTTTTCTAATGAATAAATAGGCTGTGACAACCAAAACATTTTGTTTCGATTCTGTGCATCTTTAATAAGAGCAGAGGAAATTTGAAATCAAAGGGCTGCATTCTGAGGAGCCTGAGGGATCATCTCATAGAAATTGAGAGGAGATGCTGCTTATGTATATCGTAGGTTTCCAAAGAGATAGGAGCCTGAATTAAGTCCCTCCTCTAAGTAAGTTAAAGGATACACTTAAACCCAGGGGATGCAGTTAGTGGAAGAACATGGTAACTGACGTGCCAGAGGGTACGTAGGCATCTGAGTGGCTTTGGGAAGGGTATCTATGACTCATCTGTTAACCTGAAATGTTTCTTCCTGGAACTGCAAAATCTGTTTTTAATATCTTATTTTTGTTATTTCTCATTTAACTTTTTTTTTTTTTTTTTTTTCCCCACAGATGCCTTTCTGAATATTTTTTCAGGGTATTTCCCAACTTTTTACAAACCTAATGAAATGTTTTGCCCAGATCTAGTCTGATCACTCTTCAGCTGGAGACCCCAGTTCTTTCAGTCCTACTGTAACAGCACCATATTAACTTTATGAACAGAACAGGAGGGCATAGGTCTGCTGTTCCAGAGCAGGATGCTCGTGCTAATAGCTAACAAAGGCTTTGCCTCTGGAAATGGAGGCTTTTGTGTATCTCTCCCTCTTGAATTCCCTTATGAACTGTGTTTTATCACTGAAATTGCTCACAGGTTGTACAGTCCCCTAGCAAGACTAATGAAAGTCTTTTATAACTATAATCTATATGTGCTGGCAAACTGGAATAAATTTACATATCTGAAGGAGAACAAGTTTATGTAATTGAACAGTGCAAAGCTTTGTACTGAGAACATACAATAGTATCTCTTTCACCAGATGCTTGTGACTAAGCAGCCTCTTATTACTGGTTACAGAACGTGAACTCCAGAAAAGGACATTAAAATGTACATGCAGGGAAACAGTTGTTTGCCTAGGGCAAGAAATTGCAAAGTGGCAAATGCAGATTATACAGCCAGTGGAAATTGGACAATAAATTGCATTTTTCCTGGATTTCATTCCTCATCAAAGGAGGATGCTGTAGTAGGCTGCATAAGTCATTAGGAAAATGGTTCATGGAAAAGTATAATTTCAAAATATATGTAAATCCTCATTATGTGTACAGTTACTTGGTTGTATGTGTTTACTCCTGTGAACTCAATGTGGAGAAATGCCAGCTTCTTGCTTTTATCACTAGATACCTATGAATAGAGTTGGCACTTACATCAGTGACAGAATTTCAGATCAGAAGACAGAAGGGTGAACGGGGGGGAGGAAATGGTTTTACCATGTTTTGTGCTGGATTTTAAAAGAAAAGTAGTAATAAAGTAGTATCTTCTAACCTGCTCTTAGACAAATACTTTAATAATTTTTGCCCGTGAGAAACTTGCATTTTAAGCAATGAATTAAAAGGTAGACGTTTTCAAATTTATTAAGCAAACTCACAAAACGGGGGCAGCTAGACTTAAGAATTTTACTAAAATGTAAATCAGTTGTGTGCCCAGTAGGCATGTGTTATTACTGACAGAAGAAATGAAATTTGCACACTTCTAAGCTGAGTGGGTGTCGTTAATGTTAGCCAGTGGCTTACAGGACTGTTACAATAAAGATGAGAAATGAAATACTTTTAGTCTGATGTACTGCGTACATCTTCATGAAACACTTGATTCAGAGCTCCTGGAGGGGGAAATTATTTTTACAGTCAGGAAGAGGCAGACTTAGAACTGTCTAATAACTTGAAATCTAGATGTCCAGCTCAGCCAGAGGCTCCTCCTGATGCAATTGCAGCTGCTCTTTCCATGGAAATGAATTCCTTCTCTTATCTGTTGTGACACATAGGTGAAAAGCACGCGGCAGAGCCGGATGACGCAGAGCTGGTGAGCCTCAGCAAAAGGCTGGTGGAGAATGCAGTGCTCAAGGCTGTACAGCAGTATTTAGAAGAAACACAAAACAAAGCCAGACAGACTGATGGGAGCCCTGTGAAAGCTGAGGAAGCTGCTAGTGGCACTAAGAATGAGAGCAACAGTGACAATAGCAAGTGAGCACTGTGCAAAAGCCTGGGAGCGAGTATCCTACCAAGAATAATGGCAAAAACGTGTCCCAGCTCCCTGCTGAAACTTGCTGAGCAGTGCTGGGTGACAGGCACTCTGCTCTGAGAGGCTCTTATCAGAAGTTTGTTCTAAATCGAGGGACACTGCCTGCCAGTCTAATAAGCGCTTGCATTGCTGAAAATCTGTTGAACGCTGGAAAAGGACAAGAATGGTGAAACAGCTCCAGTCTCCATGGGCTCTTAATACCACGAGTCCCTTCCCTGCTTTTGAAGAGAAACTGAGCTCTCTGTGTTTGCCTTTTGGATCGTAAGGAATGGGCACGAAGAGGCCTTGCCACAAGTGGAAACAATGCCCTGTGCACAGCCTGGCACTGCCATGGGGCTGCTCGCTGGACGCAAGAGCACGTGCTGTTGCAGAGTCAGCAGCAGGCATCCCGAGCTAAAAATTACCACTACCAATACTCGTCACAGATACTATTACACAGTATGTAACATAGCAGGAGTTTCTCTGAAATGTGACACCTTTCTGTTCTGTATTTTTGGTAACTGTTGTTGATGCAAACTGTATGTTTTCTTTTGATGGAGTACCTTTTTATAAAAAAAATATGGGGAAAAAGCACTTAACACTGTCCAAAACAGATACGATTGGTCTCTGTCTCTGTACATTAATGATTCTAAGTGACGTTAGTTATTATAAAATGTTATATTGTTCTTCTTCTCTAGGAAAGAGCCATGAAGCAGACTTTGTAAAGGAAGCTTTGCACAGAGAAACACAGGCCCTGTTATCCAGGCTGAGTCAAATAAAGGAGCTGTTATCCACTCCTGACGTCCGCATGAAAATTAGAAAAGAATTGTTTGAAGATGGGCACAACCTTAACAATAAATGGAAAAGTTATATCAACTCTGGATCTCCAAATGAATGATTGTAAATTGCTGTAATATAAGACCTCATCAGGTTGTTTGAAGATGAAGAATATTTCAGGAAATTTTCCTTTTTCTTTTCATCTTTTTTTTTTTTTTTTTAACTGAAAATACAAATGGGTGTAAATGGCTCATGAAGAATAATGCTGAAGTACTTGCACAGAAGGATTGTAGTTCATCATTAAATACAACCACTCCTCAGCACTGCTTTGAAACACACTTGAATGTGCAGGTATACATCGTGGTTCCAAAGTGGAAAACTACTGGTTTCAAATAAATCTGAACAAACACTGTGCCCTTCCTTTATCATTGCAGATACTTCAGACTTTTCTCATGGATTTTTTTTTCTCTAGCAATGATATATGGATATTTAAAAAAATGGATGCTTTTAAATACTTTAAAATGTGTATTTGAAAAAAGGTCTTTTAATTCTCTGCCTTTTATATATGTACCAGCGTTTTGGGTTAGCACTGTCTATTTTTAATTGTTTTTTTTAAAAACAGCACTTGAATACGTGTGTAGATGCTGAAATGCTGTTTCTGCAGATGTTTACACTACCACAAGAATGTTTCAAATTTCAGAATAAAATTCAGGCTCCACTAATGTCAGTGGCAAACTGTTGCTGGCTTCAATGGAGTCAGGATGCTGCAATTAAGATCTTCTGAAAATAGTAATATTCCTTGATGGTATTTGCCTTTTCTTTTTTTTAGAACAGTGTTTTATGTATTTGGGTTGTGATGTTTCTTCCATCTCTGCCTTCTGCTGCCTGGGGTTGTGTGTTGGTTTGCTCTCATTGTTCCTCCCATATACCCGCAAGATTCAGAAAAGCTTTGGATGTAAAATGCAGAAGTAGGTCCAATATTTGCATTTTTTATGAACGTTGTTTAAAATTGCCTCTGATGATAAAAGCTATTTAATACATGTTGTGATTGGTATTGGTTTTGTGCTGTTAAAATAGCTGTGTGCATATTCTTCATTGATATCAAGCACTGATCATTTATCTCATGTTTCATGGCTTACATTCTTTTCCCTCATTGAGTACATAACAGTATGTTCTGAAATGTCATACATTTCTCAAACCACGCTCACAATAAAGTATTTCTTCCTTTGCACTGTGTATGTTTTCACCCATTTCCAAATAGACTTTAATAAAATGAAGTGCTTTGCAAGTAATAAAAGTGACAGAACCATTGCTCGTGTGAATCATCTCCACCAAGCTGGCTATGGGTGTTAAGCCAAAACACTGATCTGGAGTCTGAGTGCTGCAATCATGTGAAGAAATTCATGCAGATAAGCTAATCCCATGTCATTGCTGTTTCAAGAAGCCACCACATTGCCTTCCTTTAAATGCTAATTTCATTGAAAAGTTTCCAGGGCAAGATTTTAAATGATAAAACTTTGAGATTGTGTTCAGGTGATGTGGGTTTAGATTTAAGGAGCTACTGCTACAACTTCCTTTAGGTCACATCCTGAAGGAAAAATTAAGTTTGAATTTAACAAGTGGTCTCAAATAAAATTAAGACAAACAAACAAACAAAAAAAAACCCCACAGATTTTGGCATCCTACTGGATATAAAAATCCAAACTTTCACAAGTGACTCCTATCATTTTCTGCACTGTGCTTCTCTGAGCCCAGCATGTCCTCTTATTCTACAGGATGCCTAAAACTGGAGAGAGATGCTGTAACTGCTATATCTCTGTATAAAATCATCTTGGTCTTATCAAACTGATTTGACATCTGATATGTATTGTCAACAACTACTTCATTTGGAGTTATCTATTTACCATGGCATCAAGTAATTTAAATACAACTTATATATGGCAACACAAAGCAAAGCAGGAAAACAGAAAACTCTATGATGTCTGAGTCTCAGATTGTCACCTCCCTTTCATCCACACAAGTCATTTCCGTGAACAGGTGCCTTTTTGTATCATTGTGCACAGCAGACATAATCCATTATTTTCAAGTAAAGCTGTAGAAATTAATGTTTCAGTGAAACCACGTGCAGACACTTTGATAGGTGATCTGATAGTTACAGAACTCCACACGTTTACAGTACTTATGGCCATCATCAAGAATAGAAGCTTGAAAAAGTAAATCTTAGGGAACATAATGGCCACATGATGTCGTTTGGTTTGCCCTGGTGTGGGGGATATGACAAATGAACTCTACAGAGATGTGTTCTGGATCAGGAATGGCTGGAGGCCACCCCAGAGCATTTAAGAGACACTGATGTCTATATCAAAGTAACTGGACCCCACCCTTGATTTTCTGGTGTTTTGACCCATGAAAGTAAACAAAAGCATTTCAAAAGCTTTTCCAACCTGAGTGATTCTATGATTGTTTCTTGTAAAATTCTTCCTTTTCGGTTTTGTTTTTTGTTACAAGATATCACTACTAATTTACTCAAAATTGAGCTCAAAATAGGGTTAGAAAACAACAACAGCAAAAAACTTCATGTTTTGGATTTCAGGGTGGGTTTTTTTGTTTTTTTTTGTTTGTTTGTTTGTTTGTTTGTTTTGTTTTTTGTAGCCACTGGCAGTGGAGTGAACACTTTAGAGTGCAGGTTTCCCATAGCAGGCTGGAGTTATTTGGTCACAGGCCAGATCTTCTGCCAGTAAACAGTCCTGAGCACTCTGTTCCGAAGGTAAACAGCTCCAAAGAAATGCTTTCAAATGTAAAATTGTCCACACAGTGATGTTGATTGCCACATGGCAACACCCATCACTCCATCACTCATCTCCTAGACAAGTCTGTCTTATCACAAGGAATACCTCAGGAAGCAAGCTTTGAGCAAAGAAGGATTCATACAACAGGTTACTCTGGGAAAGTGTTGGCATTAAAAACAGATGGTGCAAGTGTGTCCACATTCTGTTTTCAGTTCTAGTTCACGCTCCATACTATTTCTGTACTGCTGGCTATGGAGATGTCTGTGATGCTTCCAAAGCAGCTTCCAAGTCTGGCTGGATCTCTTTGAGTTGCTGTGACCCTCTGAGGAACTGTGTCTGATATCAACACTTGCTCCAAGTAGAAGCCATACTTTTGATACCTCAACAACCCTTGCCATACATTGTCTGCACCGTTGAACTGAGGTGTTAGAGGTTGAAGGAGTAATAAGAGAGATCAGTAAATCATAATGTAGCCCAAATAGGCAAGGGACCCACAAGGATTGTCATGTCTGACTCCTGAAATCATGTCTAAGTCCTGATAACAGACATGAGTTCACTGATGTGGGGAGAGAGACTATTTTAGAAAGAATGACTCAAAGCATAGGTGGACGTGGCATGAAGATGCTCACTCTGCAAGGAGACTAACACACCAGATAATGTGCAGGAAGCTGCTGGGAGACCATTTAGTGGTGCTTTTGTGTTGGCTGAGGGTGACACAAATCTAAACAGGGAGGAACTGCAGGAACGATTCAGGCACTGAGTATCCAGATATATAGATACTGGAATCTACTTTGGATAATACACTGTATCTAGTGGTAGAGTTATTGAACTTTGATGCTTTCAGTGGTAAAAATGCTTCTTAAGGTTATACCACTTGGAGGTTAGGATTTAAGAGACCTCATTTTTTGAATTTATGGATGTCCATGATTTTTGACTGCACAGTTCTGTGTATGCTATTTCAGCCTAAAGGCCACACTGGGTCAGTGAGCAGTCAAGGTGTGTGAGCCATGCTTTGTTCTAGTGATGAGAACAATACCATTCCATTTTTATGTCAATCTAGAGATGTGATGTATGTCTTCATTAGAATACTGATTTTATGAAGGTCCTGATTTCTACAACCAGCCAGCAGGAAAAACAAAAACATTGACGTCACCACACTCAAGAGAGCTTGTAAATTGAACGTCAGTAGAAATACACATGCACATTTTAAATTCAGTTGTGCCTGGGAATATGCTGGTGAAATTAAGTGTAAATTGTCAGTTTTTCTCTGCAGATGAGACAGCAGCTGCAGAGGCAGGGCTGGCCCAATGGAAGCCAGGAGTGGATCCCATGGCCTCAGAGGGAGCTGGGTTGCTGGACACCTGTGACTGCACTGCTCCTCGCCTGAGGTTTTGTTTAGTGCAGTCTTCCTCAAAGCAGCCCTTTATCTGTGTATGCCCCCTCCTTCTGTCCAGCTTTTAATGACAAGTTGTTTGAGACTTGTTTAATGACAAGTCTCCTTAGAAAAGGAGAGGCTGAACTGGCAATTCCTCTCTGCAGAGGAGGGGAAAAGTAGACACTGAAACTCCAAAGAAGTTTGTGTCTTTGCCACTTCCAATCTGGTTCACAGTGGGAGGGGGCAGAGTCTGTCTGCTGAAGTCTTGCTTTACAGGTGGCTACTGTTGGATCCTGAGGCAGCAGGGACAGCCTAAAACCACTGGATGAAAGCAGCTTCCAAGGGATGCACATCTCAGGAGCCAGCCATAGGTGGGTCAGCTGCTGGTCAGATGAAGCAGCGGTGTTTCAGCCTTGTGAAAATTGTTCCCAGCCAGGCTTACCTGGTGGCCTCATATGTGAGCACCTTTTGGAATTTCAGTTCCTCTGTGAGGTTTCATATAATGATAAACTTGGATGTATGAGCATGGTGGGAACTTTGCTTGCAAGGAACTCCTCATACTAATGGCAAGTATAATGGTTCTTTAGAAATGATTTGTACTTTCAGTTAAGCAAAATCATCAAATTGGCCTGGCTTCAGAGGCCAAGAGTCACACCATTCCTATGGGAAAGGAAACTAACTGGACTCAGTAAATGGGAGCACATGAATGCTGGTGTGTGTTTAACTCCACCACTCCTTTGATCAATACAATTTCTGCATAAGCAAGTTCTCAGTGTGCACTCATCTTCTCATTTATATTCTCCTCAAGTTAAGTCTTCATAATGAGAACATTTGTGCAGAATGAAAATCAGTCCTGAGAGACAGCCGGGCTGAGAAGTAAAACACACTCATAGTGGATCAGTAATTAGAATAGTATATAGGAAAACCAAAAGGGATATGGCTGCCATTCCTGGCATAGCAAAGGGGGCATGCTGGCATTGATAAGCAAGTGTTGGCACAGCATGTCTGACTGCTGGGGTCTGCTTTCCCTCCCACTGTGTTTGGGTTTTGTTTAACAAT